TGATCACATTTTCAATTGCTTCATATGGATGTGAAAATTGGAAAAATGAATGAGGAAAATTGAAGAAGAACTGATGCCTTTTAATTGTGGTTTTGACAAAGAACATTGAATACAGCAGAGAATGACAAGAGAATAAACAAATCTGTCTTGAAAGAAGGGTAACTAGAGTGGTCCTTAAAGGTAAGGCTATTGACACATCCTTTGGACATGTTATCAAGAGGTGTCAGTCTTTGGAAAAAGAAATCATGCTTGGAAAAGTGGCAGTCAGACAGTGTAAGAAAGGAAGACTCTCAAGGAGGTAGAATTGTCACAATTACTGCAACAATGGCTTGAGTATTTTGGAGAGATTGTGATGATAACACAAGGTTTCAATCTGTTCATAAGGTTAATGTAAGTCATACTCAGTTCAGTGGCACCTAGAACAATAACATGTATGTTGTGCTTCATACCTCAACTAACAAAACTCACCTTTCCCCAGTGCAGACCTCTGTGTATGTGCAGACGCATACAGCCATGTCCGAAGGATGTGACCCCATTTCCTAATGGCTGTCAAGCCAAGAGTTCAGTTGCCTCATGGTAAAACAGCAAACTAATAATTAGTCATATTTTGTGTTTTCTCAATCCTTGATCATTTTCATGATTTTTTCTCTGATGACCTTCATTACCTTCCAAATCTTATCTTTTAATATTCATCTGCATTGGTATAATCTTTGTAGAATGGCTGGACTATTTAAGTCGGCTGTTTTTCAATCATTTTGCATAAATCTCATTTTTTTTCTTGTTCAAGGAAACCTTTCATTCTGCATAATAACTAACTAAATATGACTTCTTTCTCTTATTAATAAACTTGATTAAACATTCTTTGAGCATTCTTAAATTATTCTATTTCTTAAAATAAACTGTCTTTGGCATTTTTGAGGATTAGAAATTATTCAGTTCCAATTATAAACACCAAGGCAAAGAGTGTGAGGTTTTAATTTCTTTTTAGTTTTGGATTAGGTTTTTATTTTACATTCACTATATTCTTTACTATTTTTCCAATATTCCATATTCTCTCAACTCTTCTCTCTTTTGAATATTTCTCTCTTTAGACACTTCTCTTTTCCTTATGTTTAATTAGGTTTTATTCTGTTTAAATACAGAATTCCCTGCTTTCCTTTGTAATAAATCCTTGCACTGAATGTTCTTAATTAATGCCTATTTTGTTATATACATTCAGTTCTAATGTGATTCCATTGTGTTTTATTTAGTACTAATATACTTTCAATGGTTGGTTAGTATTTACAGTGTTCAATCATTAGAAAGTTCTTGTGGCCTAATGGGTAAAGAGTTGTGCTGCCAACCCAAAGGTACCATCTGCTTTATGAAAGAAAGATGAGTAATCTCCTATGATGCAGTTAAGAGGGTTATCTAGATATAATTAATATTTAATTACTTATTAATTATGCACTATACCATCAGGTTGGAACCAACCCATAGCTAACTCTCCAGTGAATTTTTGGAGGCAGTTAATTGCATGGGAGGAGATTACCCACCTCTCTCCCTCATGGCATGTGAAAGATTTGAACTGTTTGCCTACAGGATTGCAGAGAGCTTCTTATCACTAAGTCACCAGAGCTCCCACATTTTATATAATATACAGTGAATTATAATAATATGTAATGAATATAATTATGGATCATATGGTGGTGGTTGTTGTTATGTGCTGTCGAGTTGCTTGCGATTCATAGCGACCCTATGTACAACAGCCCTAAACTCTGCTCTGTTCTGTGCCAATCTCACTGTCTCTGACACCCATCCTGATTACCCCAGTCACTGAATCAATCCACCTCATAGAGGGCCTTCCCCTCCTGCGCTGTCCCTTCACCCTCCCAAGCATGATGTCCTTTTCTAAGGATCGGTCCCTCCTTACAACATGACCAAAGTATGTCAGATGAAGCTTCAGAATCCTTGCCTCTAAGGAGCAGCCCAGTTTAGCCCTCTCCAGCATGAATCTGTTTGTTTCTTAACAGTCCATGGTATTCTCAATACTCTTCTCCAGCACCACAGCTCAAAGGCATCAATTCTCCTTCTATCCTCCTTGGTCATTGTCCAACTCTCTGATGCATA